GACAGACTCCTTCCTTTTCTATTGGTCAGGTCTTCTAATGTACATATTTCCTCCTGTCTCTGTCACCCTGGGGGTGAACTGGAAGCTAAAAAGAGACAAAGTGACTTTAATCCTTAGAGCTCCAAACTGACCAAGACACTACTGGTACACTGTCCTATATCAAGGACCTTCTGTCTAAGGAATCAAGGCAACTTGCTGCACCTTTAGACTCATTTAGACTCAGACTTTAAGGTCAGAAGGGACCATTATGATCATCTAGTCTGACCTCCTGCACAACGCAGGCCACAGAATCTCACCCACCCACTCCTGTAACAAACCCCTAACCTATGTCTGAGTTATTGAAGTCCTCAAATCGTGGTTTAAAGACCTCAAGGTGCAGAGAATCCTCCAGCAAGTGACCCATGCCCCATGCTGCAGAGGAAGGCGAAAAACCTCCAGGGCCTCTGCCAATCTGCCCTGGAGGAAAATTCCTTCCTGACCCCAAATATGGCGATCAGTTAAACCCTGAGCATGTGGGCAAGACTCACCAGCCAGCACCCAGGAAAGAATTCTCTGTAGTAACTCAGATCCCACCCCATCGGGCCTATTTACCTGCTAATAATCAAAGATCAATTAATTGCCAAAATTAGGCTATCCCAACATACCATCCCCTTCATAAACTTATCAAGCTTAGTCTTGAAGCCAGATAGGTCTTTTGCCCCCTTGGAAGGCTATTCCAGAACTTCACTCCTCTAATGGTTAGAAACCTTCATCTAATTTCAAGTCTAAACTTCCTAATGTCCAGTTTATATCCATTTGTTCTTGTGCCCACATTGGTACTAAGCTTAAATAATTCCTCTCCCTCCCTGGTATTTATCCCTCTGATATATGTATAGAGAGCAATCATATCTCCCCTCAGCCTTCTTTTGGTTAGGCTAAACAAGCCAAGCTCTTTGAGGGTATGTCTACACTACAGGATTAATCCGAATTTAGATAATTCGAATTTGGGAAGCAGGTTGTATAAATTCGATTGTGCGCGGCCACACTAAGCACCTTAATTCGGTTTTTAACCACATTACTTCGGTGGTGTGCGGCCACACTACCCCATTAATTTAAACACAGTAATTCGGTGGTGTGCGGCCACACTAACCCTAATTCGAATTAACAACATCGATTTAGGCTCTACTCCGCTCGTCGAGGTGGAGTACAGAAATCGATTTTAAGTGCCCTTTAATTCGAATTAACTGGCTCTGTAGTGTGGACGGGTGAAGGGTTAATTCGGATTAACGCAGCTAAATCCGAATTAAAGTCGTAGTGTAGACCAGGCCTGAGTCTCCTTTCATAAGACAGGTTTTCCATTCCTTGGATCATCCTAGTAGCCCTTCTCTGTATCTGTTCCAGTTTGAATTCATCCTTCTTAAACATGGGAGACCAGAACTGCGCACAAAATTCTAGATGAGGTGAATGATCTCTGGTTGAGCAAGGAGGACAGAGTTGGCTCCCAAAATGTCCAAGCCATTTTGGTGTGCAGCAGAAAGGACACAACCAGAGCAACAAAATGAAAAAGGTTCTCAGCCTGAGCTGAGTACCACCAATTGTCACCAAGTAGGGTGGAAATTAGACATATTTTAGACTACCTGCTGCAGTTGAAATTGTGTGTTCTCTCCGTCAGCTCTGTAAGGATATATTTAGCCTCCATCTCCACAATACATTCGCCAGTAGAAGGGTTTTCTGTTTTTTTGCATCCCTTGGAGTCTGGATTTTTAAAAGGCCTCATTCATATGTACCCTCCCATTTTGATCCTGTATTCTTTTGGGACCTGAATTTTGATTTGTCCTGTTTAGTGATTTCCCCCTTCAAGCCCTTAGCACCAACTTTGTTATCATTCCTATTAATAAAGACAATGTTTCTAGGAGCAATTAGGTCTGCAAGAAGGGTATTAGAGCTCCGGGCATTATTAGTTTATGCCTAATATAATATCCACATTCCATCTGTCGGACCTTTCATCTTCAAGGATTTTTTCCAAAACTTAGGTCTAGCAAAGCTGAAGAAAGTCTTCATACTTTGGATGTACAGAGGACTCTATCCTTTTATGTGGACTGCACGAAGTCTTTTGGGTTGTCTCCTAGATGCTTTGTAACCTTCACTGAAAGGATTATGGGCATCCAGTTACAGATCAGTGCATATTTCTCTGGATTTCTGACTGTATCAAGCCCTGCTCTAATCTAGCAAAGGTTGCTGTCCTCTGAGAATAACAGCCCATTCCACTAGGCCTCACTTCACTTTGTCAGCCTTTCTGGGTAACATCCTGATAACGGACATCTGCAAGGCAGCAACGTGATTGTCAGTACATACCTTTTCTAGACACTATGCTATCACTCAAGCTTCCTGGAATTATGCCAGTTTTGGCAAGTCAGTGCTGAAGTCTCTTTTCAAACAATCTGAAGTTACACCACCTATAAAGGAACTGCTGGTGAGTCACCTATAGTAGAATGTATATGTACACAATCACTCAAAGGAGAAAAAACAGTTACTTATCTGTTCTTTGAGATGTTTTGTGCACATATGCATTCCACAACCCTCCCATCATCCCTGCTACTTTGGGCATTAGTTAGATGGTAGGTGTGAAGGAATGTAGAGGAAGGCAGCAGCTACACCTCTTTTATGCCTTTGACTTTGAGCATCAGGGGAGCAGGGGCACGTGCACCACCTAGTGTTACTGCTGGCAAAAGTCTCTGACTCGAGTACATTGGGCGCACATACACCCAGGACCGCCGAGAGCGGGTTTGGGCCCCGGTGAAAATTTTTTTCGGGCCCCCCAGCAAGGGCAGACCGGCTAAACAGGGCCGACGAGGGGGGGGAAGCCGGGCCCCGGGCCTCCTTCCGGACCACCGGGCTCCAGTCATTTGTACCGGCTTCCCCCCCCCCCCCCCCCCCCTCGGCCCTGCATACATCTATGGTGCACAAAACATCTCAAAAAACAATAGTTACTGTACAGGTAAGTAACAGTTTTTTAAAGGTGTAGGCAAAAATTACTACATTTTTAACAAGGATAAACTTGACTTCTCTGGGGGCTCTGCCAAAGTCTAATCAAATAGAATTTGATTTTCTGTTCCCAGGTTTTAGCAGCTGTATGTTTGGCAGTCATAGCACCAAACTGAAATGTAATGTGCTCTCTGTATTCAAGTGTTAAATTGCAGAGCCCAAGATGAAAATAAAAACAAACTGCTATGCAGAGTGTTATGGATATTACTGACAAATAGGAGAAGTGGCAGAAAAAGGTTTTATTTAATCAAAATAAATATAAGCTACAGTATGAACATTATAGGTCTAGCTTTCTTATGGTGATCACATGTACTACTGAAGTTATGCCTGTGTATTGATAGGAGAGCAGGTCCCTTAATTAACAAAAAACCCTTGACAGATTATTTGAGGTGTCACAATAACAGTAGGCCTGAAAAGGTTACAGTGCTTTTATTTAGAACAGTTAGAACAACTAAAAATGACAATATACTGCTGCTCTACTTATTAATCTGAATCTACAGTTTTAATGACAGAAACACCACCTCCATCAATTTCATTCTCTAATAAAATGTGAGAGTTAAACGGAGTGGCTCAGATTTTTAAGAAAACAATTGTGGATAGCTTCATGGTCCCTCACTAATTCTCTGTTTGTGATTTCTAGAAAGAAAAGCCTCAGTCTTAGGCTTCAGGCAGCAGCATTTACATGAAGACAAACAGCAACAATACCCTAAGGATATTTACTGTTAGGGGGACAATGGGGTTAGGAGAACTCCACAACAGGGTCTGCCAACAAAGGGAGATGGGATATGGGTCATAGGCACCTCTGTTCCATCTCCCAAGAGACTGAAAATCAACTCTGTAGAGCAGAGGAGGAAGGGTTGGTGAAATCCCCAGGCAAGGCAGTATGAACTGAAACCCCAATGATCTACTCTTGTAGAGCTTTGCCCACCTGAGTGCTGTTGGTCAGCTCATCTCTGCTTCTACTTCTGCTCCTCATGGGCACTTTGTACTGCTGTTGGGGAAGACAGAGGAAATAGTATTTTAGCTCAGCTCCTTTCTCTCTTCTCTTTCCTCAGATCTCCACCAGTCATACCTCAAAGCAAGAGATTTGACACCCATCCACTCCAAGTAGAGTTAGACGGTCTGGGCTAGGAACTACACAGCTGTTTCCTCTCCCTTCCTCCCAGCTATCCTTTTGTGCTGTTGGAAAGGGAGCAGGGGTAAACAGGTGGGCGGGCAGCAGCCAGTGGCTTTGCATGGGGAGCGCAGTGCTCAGGAGGTCAGTTTGAGTTAATGCTAGTTGGCCCACTAGTTTCTCCTATGGCCGGCAGCACTCTTCTTCCCCCCACAGACAATTTTAAATCTTTCTTGGGTGGTGGGAGGAGGTGGTAGTAGCAGAGGGAATACTTGCCCTTGCAAAGACTGCCTCACCTGGCCAATTCTTTTGGGGACAGGCACAGGTGTTTTTTCCTTCCCCATCTCTGTGCTGCAGAGATTCTGATTTTTGCTGCTGTTTGAAGGCAAATATTGCTTCTACCTGCTTGTAATATCCTAAGTGGAAGGCTTTTCCCCTCCAGAAAACAGGAAACAGAAGAATGTTGTGATCCAAACAAATTCAATTTATCTGCAGTTAAAATAAACATGATTAAAAAGCAAACAAACAATATCAGTTTATTAACTTATATTGGCCCCTCACTTTAAGATGTAAGGATTGCTTAAAAAAAAAGTTACCCATGCTTGGTTGGAAAATGCAAGTTTAAATAATGGAATTGTTAATATTTTCTCCTTGTCGTTCACAATCATTGTGATTCTCAATTGCAAGTAAAATCTGTAAGTCAACGTAGTTGGGTATATGCCACTTAAGAGATTTACTCTTTGAGCTATGACACATAACCATAGACTATAACTCCAGGCTTGAGGTTGCTGTGGAAAATAAAGTAAAAATTATCCAATGAAATAAATATTTCAGTAATAACCTCTTTTCTCCATATGTCTAGGTACAAATAGAATAAGCTATGCACTTCAAGGAGCCCATGAGGGTGGCATTTTTGCACTTTGTATGCTGCGAGATGGTACACTGGTATCAGGAGGCGGAAAAGACAGAAAACTAATATCTTGGAATGGGAATTATCAAAAACTTCACAAGACTGAGGTGATATTACTGATCTTTAAATTTTACTTATTACTTTAAGTGGAAAATTAAAACGAACTTTCTTTATGAACTGTGCTCCCTAAATCAGTACTCTTGTTTAGGACTCCTCATTCTGAGGCAGTCCCAGTCAAATCAATAAATAGAAAAATAAAATGATACATTAACTGATTTGTTAAACAGTCTTTTTTAATTTAATACATCCATTAGTTGGTAGGAAAGCGCCTAATTAAATTTTGCTTATATAAATTCTGCCCTTCTTTGTCAAATTATTAATAGTGACAGGCATTTTTAAATTTCAGGTTTACAGTGCTTGGCAATAGTAAATACTAAACTACTTTCACACGTTTTATTTTCCAAAACCATGATGGTGATGATGATGGTTTTTATCACTTTCCATGCTTGGTCTTAGTCCAGCGGTGAATTTTAACATTTTTTTACTAAAATTTCTTGAGCCATTATGTAGGAATTTGCAAATTCAAACTTTATACAGGAATAGTCCCAGTGAGTGCATTTGTTACATCTGAAAAAGCAAACAGAGTTATGTGACCATTTAGACATTGTGTAAAGAGCATGATCAGAGGAAAACTGTATATTCTGGTGGGTGAAGTGTACTAGATGCTCTAGAGGCATTGCACATGCATTGGCAACTTGGGTAGTGTGTCAGTTTTCTAAATCAAGTAAGAACACCTGCTGTTGGGCTTTCCCTGACTTTAACCACTGAAAATGTTCAGACTTCCTGCTCGGTTATTCTCACCCTACCCTCCTACCCCCAATAATTTTTTTTTTTTATATAATGGCTTATTATTAAATCATTTATTCTATTCAGATTTTCCACATTGTTGAGCTCTATGCACCAGATTGCACCAGAGTCTTCTAGGAAGCAGAAAGTTGGGTGCAATTAAAGCAGTGTACACTTGCAGAAGCAATAGATGCTGTACTTATGCAAAACCTGTCAGTACCTCCAAGAGCAGTTTAGTGATTTTTAATTTCTTTAAAAAAAGAAAAGGATTTTGTATACAAAAAGACTTGATCCAATATTAATGTTTCACAGTTTATAAAATGTGGTTGAATTAATTGCTATAGGAAACATAACATTTTCATTTGCTGACTTACTTGGTTTTAGTTGCACAGATTTTATGTCCTATTAGTGTAGATGCCTTTTTGTGTAGTATTATATAAATTATTGTAGCTCTATTGAAGTCAGTGGAGCTATGACAGTTTGCACCAGCTGAGGATCTGCCCATGGTGTCCTCTATTCTTTTATATTAAATTGTATAGCCCTGTATTTGACAAGACTCAGAGCTGTGTGACTGCTTTAAAAAAATCCATTTGTAAGGCCATATATCTTGAAATAAATACTTAAAAAAACAGATTAAACACTTGAGAAACCATTTTGTACCATCTGACTTAGCAGTCCATTTATCTATTATGATCACAGATTCCAGAGCAGTTTGGTCCAATAAGAACAGTAGCAGAAGGGAAAGGTGATGTTGTGTTGATAGGCACTACTAGAAACTTTGTTCTACAAGGCACTCTATCAGGAGACTTTTTTCCAATTACCCAGGTGAGCTGTTTCCTCGCAAACTAATAAAAAGCATTAATGTTTTAAAATATGTAAGCGCAATAATAGAACTTGTCTAATGTTATGAAAATACAGAACTATTTAATTAATTTACTAGCACAGTGACTTCAGCAATAAAGAATCTGATCAAATAAGTACATACCAAAACTCAGCAGAATTTCTGAAGGCTTATTTATACAGTAAGCTAATTCTAATCATGTTAATTGGGAAGAATTAAACTTCATTAAAGGTGTTAACTTGGATGTTACTGTCCATCATCTGAAGAAACTTTGTTTGTATTTGTATAGGGTCACACTGATGAGCTATGGGGACTAGCCATCCATCCCTCTAAACCTCAGTTTTTCACTTGTGGACATGACAAACACATTACTCTCTGGGATGCTACCAGTCATCGTCCTGTCTGGAACAAAATTATAGAGGTATATACTATTAAGCCCACACTCTTCTCTTTCATAGAATAAAGCTTTTCAAATAAGTTAATTTAAAAAAAATGTTTGTTAGATTATAAAAGGAGGGGAAGAATCAGTGAGATAGTATATACTTTAACTTCTTCTTCGAGTGCTTGTTCACGTCCATTCCACATTAGGTGTGCGCGCGCCGCGTGCACGAATCGTCGGAAACTTTTTTCCCTCAGCGGCTCCCGTCGGGCCCGCAGGGTCTCCCTTCCCGCCAGGTCTCTCTGCATATATATTTTTAATGTATGTCAGCATTGTATCAGTAAGCCACTGCATGTATTCAGTTGAATATGTTGATGTGTGCCTCATACCTCACTCTGTTGAGTATAAAAATATACTTTTATTTTATATATATATAGTAGTGAAAGGTTGGAGATTACTGTTACTATATCTGAGCCGCTTGTTCTTGTTCTGAGAAAAAGATCAAATTAGAAAATTAAATAGGTCTAAAGTGGTGAAACAAGACTTAAAATTTTACTTAATATCCTTTTTTTAGGACCCATTTTGAGACGGGGGCATTTAGAAGTCATTGTATTGATGGCAAAGGACAACAGAATATTATAATGTACCACGATATCATCTATTGAGTAGTCTGTTAGCAAGATGAAGTTCTTCCTCAGAGCTCTCTGAAGTGCAGCAAGTTCCACTAGCTAGCAAACCAGGTCCTTAACCTTCTAACCTTGTCCTGAAAAGAGACGAGTAAGGATCAGTCCATGATACAGCTTAGTTTATTTTTTGCTCTCATCTCAAAAGTAGGATTAAGGGTTTGGCTGGTTATGAGTAAATGCTAGAATTAATTTGTCAATAGTCAGACAGGCCTTTGAGGATATAAAACACTAAATAAATGAGTAAATACTAGAATTAATTTTTTAATAGTCAGACAGGCCTTTGAGGATATAAAACACTAAATAAATAAGTATTTTTCTTATTACCGAGGAGATGAAAATCCACGCTAGTCATTTTGATTCTTCAGAGAGAGGTACATTTTAACTATAACAGCAACTTAGTCTATTGAAATCAAGGACTCATAAAAATAAATCCATCTAGCCAGATTTTTATAAAGCTAAGGCAGTCATCCAAATACTCTTTGCTTGATTAAAGCAGGATTTCAACTATCAATCACCTTGACAATAATCTTCTCACATCCACTTTGAAGCATCTTAGAGACCTTATTTCGTAAGTCACTGGCTTCTTACCTGGAGTGGATAAATCTTTCATTTGATACTATAGCCTATTTGTGTTAGAAAGAACTATATAACAATGAATGTCTTAATATTATGGTTCACCAGCAGGTTGTTGTTGAGATTAAAATCTTTATTTAAACTCATGTTTTATGTAAGGGAGAATTTAAAACCACAGAATGTGCTCATTTGTTTGGGTCCTAGGAACCTTGGAAAATTGAGCACACTTGGGCTACTATAATGATTTGACTACATAAATATAGAAACAACAGATATTAGCTACCAATATCCATATGATTTTGTGAGTAAATTGCAAAAACATAGGTCTCTCTCTCTACCTCTTGAAAGTAAGGAGAATCTCCCCTAGAACCAGCAACCACAGGCAAGGCAACTACAAATTGATAAACCTGTTAGCAGGTCTGCCATACTCACTCCAGTATGAGCAATGACTAGAATATAAAAATATGAATAAATTATGTGGGTTTTTTGCAGTACTATTATTTTATCCCATTTAGGTCTTTCATATACATGTTAATTTTGACATGCCATGACAAAAATCTGCCAAAAAATTTAGCCACTTATGCTTGAGTTTTCTTCTCTAATCTACAGAATTCTACAGCTCATTCTTTGTAGGTTGTGACATAAAACTAGTAAGCCACTACTAACTTTTCATATTTTTCAGATGTTATAATGGCAGGTGAAACATTGTGGTTCTCCAGATACATCAGTAACAACATAGTATCAAATATGCTTAAACATTTATGCGAATGAAAATGTTGTAATATCAGACATCAAAGTGAGAGACCCACGTTCATTATTTAACTCAAACTTCCGCTGACTTGTAACTGGCAGGGTATTGCAAAGGTACCTTCTGCGTTGTTAGGGGTAAAGTCAGGCCCTGCCACTACAGCACTCCATGCCATGTGATATATGCAGCAGTAAAATCAACTGCTTGCTCAGCCTTCAGGTAGTAAACAACTACCATCTACTGATTAGACATTTATATAACTAAATTAGAACTGAGTGAATAATTTATTAAGTTAATTTTACCTCTTTCCCCTTTGGGGATTTGTCCAGAAGTAGCTTTTTCTCAATATTTTTTTTTGTTTGAAATTATTTGCCCAATAAATCTTAGGTTAGACTGTGCACAAAGGAAAACAGTGTGGCATTGAATATAGGAAACACTGTGTTAGGTAATTTTTAGTGGATTTCAAAATGTACTTGGTTTTCCCTCAAATATAAAAAGAGGCGTTTACTCTAAAAAAAGAATGAGGAGGCTTAGTTTGTTACTGAGTAAGCAATTTTAATTGTGTTTTTATTATTACTGTCTCTGGGTATAAATGTATACTTCCTTTGAAACGTTATAGGATCCAGCACAGTCTTCTGGTTTTCATCCTTCAGGGTCTGTTGTTGCAATAGGAACACTAACTGGAAGGTAAGAAGAACAAAAGCGCGGGTATCAATCGACAGTGGGTATCTGTCCATCTCACCAAATCAAAGTTGATATTCTTGTTTCTCCAACAAATAGGGCAAAATTCTGCCCTCTGATGCCTATGCTCACCTCTTGTTGACTTCAACAGGAGCTGAAGGTATTGTTGGTGGTGTTTATTATTATTGTATTGCTATAGCACCTAACAACCTTAGTCCAGGACCCCATTGTGTTTGACACTGTACAAATACAGATCAAGAAAGACTATCTCTGCCCCAAAGAGCTTACAATCTAAGTATAAGACATGAGGCATCAGATGGATACTGTCAGAGGATGGAGGAGTACAGGAAACAATGAGGCAGCACTGGTAGGCATGAAAAGCAGTGGTGGCAGTGCATCAGCAGCCTAACCTTTCTCAGGGGTTTGATGTTGTTGTTATTGTTGTAGGCATAACAGCTAATGAGAGTTTTAAGGAGGGTTCTGAAGGATGTATATGGGGAGCTCCTCCTCTCAAGTGTGAGGGACAGCACAGGAGAAGACAAAAGGTGTTTGCTTGAAAATTTAACATGTTGTTTTATTATTTTTACCATAGTAACGTCCAGAGCCCCCAACCAAATTTTGGTCAAGGCCCCATTGTGCTAGGCACTGTACAAGAACATAGATAGTAAAGAGACAGTTTCTGCCAGGAGAGCTTAAAACTTAAATAGATGAGACAGATGAGGGAGAAAAGAAGTACTACCTCCATTGTATATAGAGAACTGTGGCCCAAAATTGCATAGGGAATCAGTGGTGGAGCCTTGCTTTGAACCCAGAACTCTAAGTGCCTGAAGTACAAAACCCTCCTTTCCTTCAAGGTTTACCTGAGGGCAGAATTTTGTTCCTAATATTTAAAGTATTTGCACTTCATTCTAAAATACCTTTTTATTTGATGACGTGGTTTTAGTAAGTATTGAAGCAAAATTTATTTGGTTCTCTGTTTCCCTTAATATCTAAATAAAAGTAAGATGTTTTGGGAGCAGTCTTTATTTTTGATACTTAATAAACTGAAATCAGCATTAAAATGCAGCTTTTCAAAGTGAAATAGTTGTAAGTATTTGTAGAAACATGTCCAGAGAACAATGTATAACAAAGCCCTAATCCACCTCATGGGAGATTTATTATGATCTAATTTTTATTTATCTAATACATAGTGGGCCTGATTCTCAGAAACACTAAGCCACCTTTACACTTCTCTGGCCTTTAAAGTAGATATAAATATAATTAAATTACATTTCATTAAATTAAATGTCCGAACACTGTAAAAGGGCCTTAAAGAATGTGGTCCAATATACACAAGATACACAAAAGTATACATCAATCATACTTGCATATAACCAGTGACTATTTGTAAAATGATAATAAAATCTGAATGTAGACATCTGGCTCAATATTTGATTGATATTCTGTTTATCTACTGTTGAAAATGTTACTTTCAGTTGGCTACAAGTAATGCAGAAAATGTCCCCTTCCTATTCTTTTCCTTTTATTGCAAAACATATGGAAGACTGCTATTTTGACATAACGAACAGTTGATTAAAACTACTGTAGATTTGCATTCTTTACTGAGCAATTTATTGGCCTTTTTCTGTGTTTACAACAGGTGGTTTGTGTTTGACACAGAAACAAAAGATTTGGTCACTGTACACACAGATGGAAATGAACAGCTGTCTGTAATGCGTTATTCGCCAGGTTTGACACACTCTACTTACTGGTTTAAAAAAAGAAGTGATTGTATGCAATATAGGGTTTATTTTTTAAATTCCCCACATATATTTAAATTGGGTATAGATACATGAGTTGAAATCCTGCCTCCATTGAGTCAATGGAGCTAGGATTTTACCCAGAGGCTTTAACTCCAATTTCCTGTTGTTGGCCCCTTCAGATCTTGATGTTTAGCAGAAATCAGCTCTCTCGCTTAGATGTGTATGTAGTACCATGTTCAGGTTGGCTTTTTTCTCAGTTTCCTTATGAGGTTTAACTTCAGTATTTGCTATATAAAGCTGCTGTTTTATTTGCAGTGAAACATATTCCATCAAACAAGGAGAAGAAGAAAATTCTGGGTTTTTTACTTTATTAATAAAAATTTTAAGAACAATGCCCATTGTCCATGACAAACTAGAACTTCATAGATTAGTTTAATTCTTTCTTGCGGGTATAATTATAATTCACTTTTTTATAGATGGAAACTTCTTGGCAATAGGTTCCCATGACAACTGTATCTATATATATGGTGTTAATGAAAATGGGAGAAAATATAGTAGAATTGGCAAATGCTCAGTAAGTGACCTCCTTACTACTTATTTACTAATAACAAATAAGCATGTATACTTTATAGTACATATTATGCTATGTTGGTGGAATTAATACAATACACTTCTCTTCATAGGGTCATTCCAGCTTCATTACTCACTTGGACTGGTCTGTTAATTCACAGTACCTTGTGTCCAATTCAGGGGACTATGAAATCTTATACTGTGAGTAACAAATAGTTTTCTGTGCTTTGTGCAGAGTTGATTCTAGGATATCTAATGAATTTTTAATTAAGATAAGATCATATAATCGCTAGGCTGGAACATATATTTTAATTAGTTGCTACTTTTTAGCTTAAATCAACTCCCGTGCAGCTTAAAAACTGAAAATGTCATCATTTGTTTCTCTTTCTGTAGGGATCCCCTCTGCTTGTAAACAAGTAGTGAGTGTTGAGACTACTAGAGATATAGAATGGGTTACCTACACCTGTACTTTAGGATTCCATGTTTTTGGTAAGTTTTTTTTTCTCCCTCTCACAAATTTATGATTCTTTGCTTTTCCAATTAGCTAACATTCAGACTGTCAGCTTTATTTGAAACATTACTATTCAGATTTCAAAGTGCAAATATAAAACTTCTATTGCACAATTTTTATCACTATCTGTCCTCTTATTTTGATCCAGGAGACCTCTGATTTAATATTCTTGGTAGCTTCTGATACAATTATTAATTTCAACAGAAGTGAAAACCAATCACAAGCTACCTGCTATGAGAAATTACAATTGTTTTTAGAAAGCATGTACTACAATTAGAGAATTTTCATTTATGTATTTGTATTCCTACAGCACCAAAGACCCCATTCAGGATCAAGTTCCATTGAGTTAGGTGCTGTATAAACAGTGTACAATCCAGTCCCATTGTACACGGTTCTGTACAAAAAGTGACAGTCCCTGCCCCCAAAGAGCTGGTAGTGTAAATTGAGATATTCATAAGAAGTGAGTGAAATGAACAAAAAGAAAGAAAAAGGAAAAGGAGGACAAATTCAACAAAAATAAGGTGTTCCAGTTCCAGATGGTTTTGGTTTCTTTCATTGATTTAGGGGTTGTAATTTTTTTTTTACATATAAACAAAATAATCCCCTGTGATCAACCATCACTAGTGGTTGACTGCTTTCTTGTAGGCCTCAAAGCACAGGTTTGTTGTTTTGAGGAGGGATTTGAAGGAGAAGAAGGTACTTGCGTTACAGATTAATTCAGGGAGGGCATTCTGTATATATAAGGGACAGCACGGAAGAAGTCATTGAGACGGTCGTGGGAGAATTCGATAAATGAAGACTGTTATCATTGGAGCTGAGGAAGTGGTAGAATAACACAATAAGAGACAAGTGTGTACAAACAGGAGAGGTAAAGCGGTGAAGGGTCTTAAAAGGTGAGGACAAGATACTGAACTTGGTATGATGAAACAGGAAACTAGTGCAAAGATTCAAAAAAAAAGTGGTGTGGTCAGAGCAATAGGCAAGAAAGATTATCCTAGCAGCCATGTTTGGAATGGAACAGAGAGGGTAACATGTTGGAGAGAGACCCAGAAAGAGGAAAAGATTGCAGCCAAAGGCCTGAACTAGAGTTTTAGAATAGTGACAGAAAGAAAATGTTAAATTTTGGAAACATTATGGAAGAAGTGACTAGGTTTGGATATGGATTTGACATGCAGGTCTAGAGAGAAGACAGAATCAAAGATGACTGGCTGCATATTATGCTGAGATGATAAAATTCTTCTCTCTGCATGGACAGCCTCTACTGGGTTGTTAATATATTTCTACTTCTTAGGGCTAGGGTTTGAGAGTCCCTGACACTTTTAGTGTTTTAAGCCCAGATTTTTAAAGCTATTTAGGTGTTGCTGCACTCAGCAGTGCAACACCGAACTGATTTAGGAGCCTAAATTGCATTTTCAACTCTTGATGAAATGTAGACTAAGTGCCTAAATCCTTTTTGAAAATGAGATTGAAGCTCCTATACCAGTTAGGTGTTGCAATGCTGAGTGCAACAATGGTTAAATAGCTTTAAAAATCTGAGCCTCGGTGCTTAGCTTCAAAGGCTCTGAAATGATGCATATTTTAAAATGAGGATTCTCTAGTGTAAGTAATAGTTTATTTATATCAGATTTGTAAAATGAATCTGCTGCCTTTTTCATGTATCTAAAGAAATGATCACAGTGGTCCTATTCCCGCCCCCCTTAACTTCACTGGTTCCCAGTTCACTTCAGGATTCGATTCAAAACTGCCATCTTTGGTTTTTATACTGTAGTTCCTCCATTACCTCTATCCAGCCTGTCTTACAGACTCTCCTCCCCTCTCAGCTAGTTCTCTACCTTCATATAGTTTTGACTCTGTTGGTGCAAAAGCCTTCTCTCTGTCTGCACTAGCATCTAGAACAGCTTTTCTCTACCTCTTAAACTTAATTTCTTTAACCTCATTCATAATTTTATCCCAGAGGAAAGTGCATTTATCTTTCCTTTGCATATCTCTCTTTATTTATTTTTACATCTTGATCATGCAAAGGGATATTTCTGCACGGAGTCCCATTGAAGTCAGTTGAATTTGGGGGTTCAGTAGTTTCCTTTCTTATTATATTGTTTTCAGTAATCCTTTAAACTGTTTTGGGAGAGTTTGTATAAAAGATGCAATACAGAATAAAATTATACCAGTGATTAAAAACATGAAACCACTTCCTTTCTGTATTTCTGAAGTCATTACAGATTTATAAGTGTGGGGGGAGGGGAGGAATTGCTCTTAACTCAAACACTGAATGTCATAATAATTTAATACTCAACAAAACAAAAAACCGCACCTGACTACAACATTGGACTCTCTCAAATTATTAAACAACCTCTGTGCTGAATGGGGGAGTAGATCAAATCTAAAGGACAAAAAACATTAAAAATCTTAAGCAGCAAATAGCTATACATAATGCTGTATAAAAAGAAAATTTAAGTTTCCATAACCTGTTTTATAATTTTTTTACAGCACACGAAAGCATGCAGGGGCTTTACAGACCAAACACAAAAACCTTGTCCTTCCCCTAAAGAGCTTACAATCTAATTTTAGAGGTGACACAATATGTGAGACCAACAAGCAGTAGGGGACTGGGATGAGGAAGAAGTGTTATCGTAACAAAAGCATGTCATAATTCAGTTATAACAAGTTCATATCTTCTTGATCATTCATTAGTCACTTTATTATTATTTTTAATGGTATAATTCTTGTAAACACCACAAGTGGGGTTTTAGGATAGATTTGAGTGAGGAGAACCTGGTGGTTGTACCTTTTTAATAAGCCTCCTACCTACAAGAAGTCATTCATTATCTGTAAATTATGGAGAAGGGAAGGAGAAAAGCAGTAGTTTAAAATTGTACCTCCAGTTGTTGTCTCTTATGTACACATGTATTATGATATAATACCTGAAGGCTCACAGCTGAGGCCCCAATTCAGCAAAACACTGCTTACATCCCTCTTGTTCAGCAAAGGACGTATGCATGTGCTTCATTCGCATTCAGATTTTGGGTCTTATGCACATTTTTAAAGTTAATTATTTGGTTTTCTGAGTCAGGGCCTGAATCACTAGTAATTTTGAGGGATTTGGAGTTTGGTTGTTTTTAAACAGGTGGCCTCTTCATTAATGTCATAACAAAAAAAATTAGCTAACATTTCTGTTCTGTATGTGTAGCAGAAATATTAAAGTAGTCACTACATGTTTTCAGGGGTATGGCCAGAAGGTTCAGATGGAACAGACATCAATGCTGTCTGTCGATCACATGAGAGAAAACTGCTATCAACAGGGGATGATTTTGGCAAAGTACATCTCTTCTCTTATCCGTGTTCACAATTTAGGGTAAGATATTTACTTTGTTAGAGTACAATCTTGCAAACCTTCACAAACATGGGAAATTTTGTTCCTCTGCTGAGTGTCAAAAAAAACAAAATTAAATCAACAGGACTTCTTATATGCGTAAGTGTGGATTTACATGTGTAAGTGTGGATTGGCACTTTAATATAGAAGTCTGCATTTTAAAATAGTCTGACTTCATTGATAGAAATAAGGTGATAATTTTATTTCATTGTTGTTTGAATGCTATACATAATTAAATATTTGTTATGGTAATGTATATTATTTATCTGCAGTAATAACATCCTGTATTGATATTTTCCAGGCTCCCAGCCATGTGTATGGTGGACATAGTAGTCATGTAACTAATGTAGATTTTCTGTGTGAAGACACCCATCTCATCTCCACAGGTGGAAAAGATACAAGTATTATGCAGTGGCGAGTCATTTAGAGGAAACATCGGTGTGAACACACACAGTCATGAGATGACCATGCACAGAAGTTCTGTACAAACTGTATATTTAAAACTTAAACAGTACATTTGCAGTTTAGCCTGGTCACTGTGATTCTGTTTAAAAATTCTTACAGACCTCAGGAAAATTAAGCCCTGTGCTGATTATCTTACTCAGTTTAGTGATTCATTAAGTATCACTCCTAAAGAATGAGCTATATTTTTTCTTTTGTTGTACAATATATGCAGCAGTACAAGTTTAATATAAAAACATGGCTTGAAAGTTTTCAATACAGTGATATCAGCAGAACTGGTGACTATCGTAACTGTTTTCTACAAACTCTACTAAAATGGTCACAAAAATGCCTTTCAGAAAACTGTATATACATGCTTAATTGTCTCACTGTCTACACTTTGTACTGTATATCTACCTATTTAGAAAAATCTATGGCAGCAACATTGAGGTACTGAATTGTTTCTGGTAGATGGTGATGAATTCACACTAAAAGAATAAACCTAGCTAGAAGACACATAATAATTAACATGTTAGATATGAAAATGTGAATGTTAGAATTCAGTAATTTGCATTTTCTTTGGGAATAACAAATCTTTAAATTCCACCAGTGAGGAACTGTATTCTCTTTCAAATCAGCAGGTTATACTCCAGTTTAACTTGAATATCTCAAAAGGGTTTACAGACGTTTATCTAGTTCAGGTATTCCATATAAGCTTAAATTTAAAAAAACCTTTTTTACTTGTATATGAACAACTTCTTATCAAAAACAAAAAGCAAAACTTGACCACATCCCCACTATTGGTTAATATATTTAACTAATATGTATATTAATCAGCATGATGCTATATTGTACATGTATAAGATTTTAGCAGTTCATTATACATGGTAAGGCAATCTAGGCTTTACTTTTTTATGCTTATGGATATTGTATATTTGTATTTTAAGACCAAGTAGACCAAGTCTAAAGATATCTTTTTAAATGTACCATAAACCTGCAAAGGGAAAAGGAAGTATTCGAAGCCTACATGAAATATTAATGTGTAACTTCTGGCCCCTGTGTTTTGTGCATGGATGGATATTTATAGTATGACATAAGATTGTGTTTTGCAATGAAGTAATAGGGGAGGTGGTATAAAATGGTTAAGAAGGCCTTATCAATTTTGATTGTGAAACAGATTGAAATTTATTGTTTACCTTGAGGAATGTATCTAAAGAATTTAAAAGAGCAGAGTAATAAGCAGACTCTGAAAAGTTAATATTAAAGTTTTGCTTGTAATGGACAGTAAACGTTTTAATTCTCTGAACTCTAAAACACTGGTTGTTTGTTTAGAGTGGTTAAATGAAATGAAATCAATGAATTTTGAAACCTTTTTTATTACATCTCCAGCCTGCTATACTGAAAGTGCAGGACAATAATAAATCATGTATTAAAGTGCTTTGTTTTGATGTATTCTTCCTGTGCAGTTTAACACAAATTCATTTCTACATTAAAGCTTTACTGTGATCTGCTTTCACTTAATGGGATAAATTTTTAAATTCCAAACCACATGTGAAAAGATTGTTGGGGAATGAAATCTGAGTTTTTGTGTATGTAATTATTTGCATACCTATAGAGCAGGGATCAGCAACCTTTGGCACGCAGCCTGCCAGGGTAAGCACCCTGGCGGGCCGGGCCGGTTTGTTTACCTGCTGTGTCCGCAGGTTCAGCGAATTGCGGCTCCCACTGGCCGCAGTTCGCCGTTCCAGGCCAATGGGGGCTGCGGGAAGTGGCACAGGCCGAGGGATGTGCTGGCTGCCACTTCCCGCCGCCCCCATTGGCCTGGGACAGCGAACCGCAGCCACTGGGAGCCGCGATCGGCCGAACCTGCAGACGCGGCAGGTAAACAAACCGGCCTGGCCCGCCAGAGTGCTTACCCAGGCGGACCGTGTGCCAAAGGTTGCCGATCCCTGCTATAGAGGATGCTTTTGAAGATTTGACCAATAGTGTGTTCATATAGGGTGAAATTCAAGAGGACCAGGATTTCAACCTACAAGTTTATTTATTGATTCTAACTCCTTAATACAACAAAACATTTCAAAGTTCTGCTGTTTATTTCTGTACTTTCCTTATATTGTGGAAGAGAGATGTTTTTCATGCAGTAAATATGAATTTAAAGAATTGACCTTAAAGAGAATATTATCCCACAGTGGGGGAGATGGTCTTTATATAAAAACTTTGCAAATGATCCATATACAAGCTTAAGTTCTGTACACTAAGTATTATCACTACTTTCCTCCAAATTGATGAAGTGGTATATTCAGCTTGTTTTCTGGGGCCACAAAATTTCCAAACTGGTTAGTTGCTAGGTTTGGTTAAAACAAACTCCATATGTCTGACACTTGTCAGATGACAACTTATTAAATCTCAAAATCATACCTGTTTTTACAATACTGTACTGTTTTCCAAAAGTCTATGAATAAAGAAATGACAAAGATAAGTTGACAAATATCCACTGCTTTCAGGAATATGTCCTTTTTTCCCTGTTTGTTTCTGATTATAAAAACAAAAGAAAAAATAAGCCAGAACTTTAAAACATAGCCCATTTTTAAATGAATATTTTGCTTGGCTGCATTTTCCCCTCCTGTTCGTTTTTATATATTCTTATTTTTAAAGCTTCTTTTCCCCTTTCCAGCTGGTGCTAGAAAGTATCTGTCATGAATGAGAAACATCTCATCTTGTTTGGAAGACTTGGCTTGTTTATATTGCTGCTAGGAAATGACACGCTGCTGCAATGGGAGAAAAGAACTGACTCAAAAGCATAGTTTCTTTTGAAATGATTGATGGCAAGGAGCATAAGGCATGAAAGATAATTGGACAACAGTTACCTAAATTCTCTGGATGAAATCTTGCTCCATTGAAGATGATGGTAGTTTTTCCTTCGACTTCAATGTGACCAGGTTTTCAGTCCTTAGAAGATATACAGATTTGTATGTTAATGTATTCTATGGCCTGTATTATATAGCAGGTCAGATGAGATGATCACAGTCAGCCCTTCTGGCCGTATCATCCATGAAAAGTACAATACTGTTCAATTTAATAAGCTACTTTTTACTTAAACCATTGCCTCAAATCTATTAAGTATTTGTTTATGGTAGTGCCTGCCTTGTGCTGGATGCTTTGCAGACATTCAAGAACTGTCCTGACCCCAAGAAGCTTACAGTTTAAGGACAGACAGACAAGTAGATAGAGGTTGGGGAAAGGAAATAATAAAAGGACGATATTTTTTTTAATTCGCACCAACAAGATTGACTAAAGGCAATATGTTGTATGCAGTGTTGTTATAGCCATGTCGGTCCAAAGATATTAGAGAGACAAGGTGAGTGAAGTGATATCTTTTATTGGACCAACTTCTGTTGGTGAGAAAGACAAACTTTTGAGCTTACACAGAGCTCTGTGTCTCTCTCACCAGTAGAGGTTGGTCCAGTAAACTATTACGTCACCCGTCTTGTCTCTCTAAAGGCAACATGGCAAATCGAGTTTTAACAGGGAGTTAAAACTTGAGAGGTTATCCTAGCAGATAGTCCCTAGACAATCAGTCGCTAAACTGAAGCTTCAGGGAGGAAGGGTGTGTGTGTGTGTGTGTGTGTGTGTGTGTGTGTGTGTAAACACATTACATAATTTTCCTGAGGTTACTGACACCCTACAATAGTCACAAAATGTCAAACAACTTCAAATGACACTTTCTTTTTTGTATTTTCATAACTCGAAAGGCCAAATTCTCATCTGTTACAGTGTTGTAGCTTTATTGAGACCAAGTCATTTAAAAAAAAGTGGGGTGGAAAGGAAGGAGGAGAATTTTATTTTTTCAGTTTCATTCAACCTGCATAAAAAAATTGGTTCAAATTGTTAAAAAAATGGAAAACTTCAACAAATATGACAATGGTCACAAAAAAATTCTTATAATTCTAAAAGCCATTTTTAATCAAATCGTATTTGACCAATCCTAATTAATACAATTTCCCATGTGATCTCAGGAAAGCATGACTGATATTCATCAGTTCTCCAAAACACATTAATGTAGAAAATATATTGGCTTTTTCTTAACATCTCCTTGCACCATGTGATACCAATTCATTGGAAAAATAACTAACCTCTCTAAAATGTTAAATTCCATTTTATCTAGTACTGCTTTGAGATGTAAAATTTTTGCCTAGAACTGGAGCCCTTCAGAGAGGGCTAGGTCAAATCCTTGAACATACCACAGCTAATGGGAAAAATCCTTTAACTGCCTCTGACAAGATCCAGTACTTATGAGAAGCCTAACAAGTAGAAATCCCTCTTTCATACCCTGATGGAGCTGCATTTGTAGCTGGGCAAGATCAGGTGAATGGCAGCTCTCCATGCTATCATCCCCCATCAAACCTCTGGGGGCTTCCCCATATAAGATAATGGCATCCATACTGGCATTTTCTTCCATGGCTCCCGCTCTGGAAGGTCAGTCTGGCAGAGCTCGGAGGCGTGCATGGATGGGAAAGCAACTCCCTCCCATGAGTTTAAGGAGGAAGGTAGTTTTTGCTGATACAGACTAACACGGCTACCACTCTGAAACTTGTTATCCTTTATGTCTCTAGCTAGTTTCATCTCATTTTGTGCCTTGGCCTTTCTAATTTTGTCCTTACATGCTTGTGTTGTTTTTTTATATTCATCCTTTGTAATTTGACCTAGTTTCCACTTTTTGTAGGACTCTTTTTTTGAGTTTCAGATCATTAAGCCATGGTGGTCTCTTGCCATACTGCCTATCTTTCCTATGCAGTAGGATTGTGTGCTCTTGTGCCCTTAATAAAGTTTGTTGGAAAAACTGCCACCTTTTTCAAACTGTTTTTCCCCTTAGACTTGTTTCCCATGGGATCTTACCTACCAACTCCCTGAGTTTGCTAAAGTCTGTCTTCTTTAAATCCATTATATTTATTCTGCTGTTTTTCTTTCCTACCATTCCTTAGAATCATGAACTCTTATATTTCCATGATCATTTTCACCCAAGCTACCTTCTACTTTCAAATTATCAAACAGTTCCTCCCTATTTGTCTAAATCAAAACTAGAACAGCCTGTCCCCTAGTAGCTTTCTCCAACTTCTAAAAAAAAATGGTCTCAGATGCATTTCAGGAATTTGTTGGATAATCTGTGCCCTGCTATATTATTTTCCGAACAGATGCCTGGGTAGTTGATGTTCCCCAGCACCACTAAATCCTGCGCTTTGGATGATTTTGTTAGTCGTTTAAAAAAAGCCTCATTCACCTCTTCTTCCTGGTTAGGTGATCTATAGGAGACCCCTACTATGACATCACCCTGGGTTTTTACCCCTTTTCTCCTTACCCAGAGACTTTCAACAAATCTCTCTTCTATTTGCATCTCAATCTCAGTGCACGTGAATTCAGCTCTGATATACAAGGCAACACCTCCTCCCTTTTCTCTTGGCCTGTCCTCAGGGCCGGATTAAGGCAGGGGCGTTAGGGGCTGCAGCCCAGGGCCCCGGCTCAAGGGAGGGCCCACAAAAATAAATCACAGGCAATGATCTCCAACTCCGGGCCGCTAAAAATCCCACTGAGGAGCGGGCCACTCAGACAGGCTGCCTGCATGCCGTGGCCCCACACCACTTCTGGAAGCAGACGGCTGCTAGCACGTCTCTGCGGCCCCTGGCAGGGAGGTGGTGGCTCCGTGCGCTGCCCCTGCCCCCAGCACCGTCCCTGCAGCTCCCATTGGCCAGGAACCGGCCAATAGGAGCTACGGGAATGGGCTTGCAGGCGCGGGCAGCACACAGAGACATGCTGTCCCCCTCCCCCTAGGGGCCACAGAGACCTGCTAGCAGCCAGCTGTTTCCGGGAGTAGCGTGGGGCCACAGCATGCAGCGGCCAGGAGCCGCCTGTGGCAAGCGCCTCCCGGCTGGAGCCTGCACCTCTCACCCCCTTCTCCACCCCAACCCCCAGCCCCAGATCAGAACCCCCCTCCTGCACCCCAATCCCCTGCCCCAGCCCCCTCTTGCACCAAACTCCCTCCCAGGAAAAAAGCCTTGTATACAGGGGCCCCACAAAATCTAATAGCCCCAGGCACACAGGAGAGTTAATCCGGCCCTGCCTGTCCTTCCTGAGCAAGCTGCACCCTTCTATACCAATATTCCAGTCGTACGTATTATTCCACCGTGTCTCTGTGATGCCAAGTATGTCAAAGTTGTGATTATTCACTAGTATTTCTAGTTCTTCCTGTTTATTCCCATGTAGGGAGGTTGCCTAAGTGTAAGAATATCATCAGGGTTCTCAAACGGGGGGTCATGACCCCCTTAAGGGGTGCAAGTTTATTACATGAGGGTTGTGAGCTGTCAGTCTCCACCCCCAAAGTCCCCTTCACCTCCAGCATTTATAATAGTGTTAAATGTAAAAACATGTTTTTAATTTAT